GTTTATCTGTTTACTTTTTAATTCACATCACAAGCTATGAGGCTTTCATAAGCCTGCGAATTATGATGATAATTATATTTACGTACTCAAAAATACACAATATTAACTATATTATATTACTTTTGTAATGTTATTTTACCAATATATATTAACAACTGCCGTCGACATGAATTGTAGAATCATAATCATTTGATTTTGAATTTCGAAATTCCAAGTTCGGAAGAGAAACTGACACGTGTTTTTGATGTCTCCTAATATCTAAAACAATTACTGAAGTTTTCTACATTCTCTCTAATCTTAGGTTAATTAATATGTCTATAATTATTACGGAATCACTTATCTGCATAACAAACATATTAATAAAAACGTTATAATAATGTTATTTTATCAATATATTAAAAACTGCTGTCATTTAACCTCCAATTTAGGAAGAGAAATGGACATTTGTGTTTTGCATAATACACAAAAAAGTACAGAATTTTTCCTATCTTCTCTATAATAATAGATTGATATGTCTGTTATTTTATTATTGTTGAATTTTCTTCGTGAAATAGCTTCTGTAACACTATTATAACACCAGGATGCAGAATAACATCAACTGCAAACGATTGTGTTTGATTAAGAAGCATGAAAACATACACCTTTTTCTAATAACACTACGTTGCATTGTTCACTAACTGGAAACTTACTTTTCATGCTTAATAAACTGCACTCACTTTCCAGTTGATGTTATTCTCATTCTGGTGTTATAACAGTGTTACAGAAGCTACTTCACGAAGCAAATTCAACAATAATTTAAAACATTATGAATGACATAACAGATGATGAGTATAAGTAAGTTCATTTTTATAAAATACATGTTATCGATTCAATGTTATATTTTAAATTTATTACAGTGAGGAATTAAAAAAAGAAAATTCCGATGTAACGGATATAATTGGATACTGGGGAAGGTGGCACCTATTATATTTCTCAATTTTGTTAATTTTAAGCTATTCTGTTGGATGGTTTAACTTTAGTATAATATTCATGGCGCCGAACATTAATTATTGGTGTGCGAAGCCAGCAGAATTTTCGAATATGACTACAGAAGAATGGAAAAATTTCAGCATTCCTTTAGAAAGAATTGGCAGTAAACATGTGTATAGTAAATGTGAAATGTATAGTTTATCATCTGGAAAGAATAGAACCCGAATTCCATGCACGTCGTGGGAATACGATCATTCCTTTTATGCGTCCACTATAACTGAGAAAGTGAGTAAATTTTCAATTTTAATACCGTTTTTATAACTTATGGCTCCTGTAAATACTGAGAATTTTTATTTAGTTTATTTAAATAGTAGTTAAGTATACTTATAAGTTACTATTGGAACAACAATACTATTTAAAAACTAAATTTATTTAAATGATTTGAATACTAGGGTATAGACTAATCGTCAAAAATTTTCGTGACGATTTTAAGCTTAGTATTTTAGTTATACAGTAACTTAATAATAGATATAGATGTTTTCTCTCATGAGAGTATCGTATTTAGTTACGTTGTTAACAATATATTGAATAGTTAAATATAATAATTTGTTTAATTGCATGTGCTTGTAGCTAATAAAATTGTTAAACAAACTCTTCTATGGCAGTCTTATTGAGAAGAATCCTACCATATAGGCTAATCCTGGCATGAGAAAAGGCTTTCTTACAAGGCGTAGAATTAAAATAATATGACAAATTAGTCCTTTTTTGTTTTTTATTTATGACTTTAGTAAACTAAAAATGACAAAAATAATAAAATCAGAATTATGTGATAAAATAAAATTATACGGCGTATTAAATAAATTGATATATCGAGTGTGCCGAATAAAAATGATCAATTTTATAATTTATAAATAGAAAATATTTTTATTTTTGTACTTTTTAGACATATATTGATTATAGTATAAAATTCTTTCCACTCTTCCCAATTACTTAGAAGATTATTTATTGATTTCAAACTAGAGATTACAATGAAAGTGCAAACGGTTGGATTGTCAAGGCAGTTAAAATGTCAGTTTATCGCTGGATTTAAATATTTTTGCATTCAGAGGATTTATAACGTTCAGAAATGAAAAAATGCTTGAGATTTTTTTCTGTGTTTATGTTAGTATGCAGGTGCGCGATTTTGTTTAGTTTCTTTGAAGTTTAATAACTCCTGTGCTTTTTATAGAAAATTTCTGAAATGTTGCAGAGAGATTTGTGTATTAGGAGGATTGATGATATTAACTTTTGATGAATAAAGGTCTAAAGATAGGGAGTCGTGTGCCATATTTTCAGTAGGGTGAAAATTAATTACGATTTTACTCGTTATTAGCATTTACATTTTTTTTTATAAAATCCATCCCTAACTTCAAAATCAAACATTTGCTATTTTATAATAGTTAAAAATACTAAAGTTTTTAAAACAAAAGATCATAACAGATGGCGCAATACCCGCAGTTTTAAATGTTATGTTGAATGTTAAATAACTCGTTGCTGGGTGTTTTAATTAAACCAAATAATTTGAATAATAGAGTTTAAACTTATCGTCAAAAATTTCGTGATCACTCATCTATTGCTGGTGCTGCTGTTTCCAGTATTATTTTCCTTTTTTATGAGATTTTAAGCTATTATATAATATAATATATATGTAGGCCTATATATATGTAGTATATACTAGATATACGTGAATTTTTCTAGGATTATCGTACTTAATTACGTTGCTAATAATATTATGAAATACAATAATTTGTTGAATGCGTGACTTCGTGACTGATAAAATTGCTAAACACCCAGGGATCGATCAACTGAATCCTGGCAAATTTTTTTTGTTTTCCATTTATAAATTTATTTAACTTAATATAATGTTAAAATCATAAATTTAGAACTATATGATATTACTAAATTATACGAAATAATAATGAAATTGATAGTTTAATTTATTTTTTCTTATAATATACAGTATGAACACTATTTTTTTACATAATTTATAAATACAAAATATTTTTATTTTTGCACTTTTAGTGACATATTTATATGTAGAATCTTCTTCTTCTTCTTTATCTTCGCTCTTTCCCATGTTTATATGGGGTCGGCGTTTCCTTCTATAATACGTTTCTTTCATTTCTCCCTATCAAGGGCTTCTTCTCTCTTAAGTACACTCTGGTTCAAGTTTTCTTTCGCCTTATCTTTCCAACGCATCTTTGGTCTTCCTCTTTTCCTCCTTCCTTTTACTACCAGTTTTCCGATCTTCTTTCCAACATAATTGTCACTTCTTCGCTCTACGTGGCTATACCTCCTCAACCTACATTCTTTTATCTTTTTGCTCAAGGGGCCAACATAACAGAATCCCTAATAAAATCATTCCTTATTCTATCCTTCCTTGACACTCCACATATCCATCTCAACATTCTCATCCCCGCCACCTCCATCTTTCTTTCTTGGGCTCTTGTTATTGCCCCTGTCTCCACCCTATATATCATTGCATGTCTAACAACTGATTTATACAATTTTCCTTTCTGATTGCAGCTAACATTCTTGTCGCATAATACACCGCTCAGCTTCCTCCAGTTTATCCATCCACATTGAATTCTATGCTCTACCATTCAGAGTCATATAAGCTGTTTTAGTTCTGCTAATTTTCATGCCTCTTTCTTCCAAAACTTTCCTTCAATCTTCCAGTTTCTTCTCAGCCTTGGTTTGGGAAAGTTCACACAGCACACAATCATCCATCCGCAAACAGCATACTCCACGAAGCCTCAAAATGCATGTCACCTGCATGGGCCGATCCTGATGCAAACCATCATTAACGAATAACCCTTCTGTAGTGCCCACACTACTCTTACCTGCTCCCTCGTACATTTCCTTGACAAGCCTAACATATTTTCCTGGAATATTCTTTTCCCTCAACCATCTCCATATCTCTTGCCTTGATACCTTATCATGCGCATTTCTAGATCTATAAACACCATGTGCAAATTTTCCTGCATTTCCCTGTGCGTTTCCATCAGCAAAAGTAGCATCATTCGTACTCCTTCCCGGCAAAAGACAAACTGTCCCGCTTCAATCTCAGATTCCTGCCTAATCCTTCTTTCTACAATTTTCTCCCAAGTCTTCATAGTATGGGACAATATCTTTATACCTCTGTAATTTCCGCAATTCTGTACATCTTTACCTTTAAAGATCGGCACAATAATGCACTTTCTCCATTCATCTGGGATTTTCTCCTGCTGCCAGAGTTTCATTAGTTCCCAGAGGATATCAATTCCCTCCTAATCCAAATCAGTCCAAACCTAAAACGGAATTTGAACAGTACCTACTGCTTTCCACATCTTCATTTTCCTAAGCACACTTTCCACTTCTTCTTTGCTAATATCTTGCACCACTGCTTCATTTGCCTCTCCATTCTCGTATAAAGTTCTGGGGTTTTCTTCATTCAATAAATTCCTAAAATATACTTTCCATCTTTCCTTGGCCCTTTTGTAATCTTGTAATACCACTCCCTTATGATCTTTGATCAGTTTAATAGAGGTAAAATCTTTTGATGCCTTATCTCTTGCTTTGGCAATTCGCATCAACTGCCTCTCACCACCTTTCCTTTCGAAAACTTTATAAGCCTCTTCTAAAGCCTTTGCTTTTACAATAGCCACCGCCTTTTTAGTCATTTTATTTGCCAAATGGTAAGTTTCTTTATCTTCAGACCTTTCCATCAAATTCCACCTTTTCTTTGCCTTTTTCTTTTGTTTAACTGTGGCTTGTACCTTAGCATTCCACTACCAAAGTTTGTTTCCTTCTGGTGATCTCTTCCCTAAAGTTTTTCCAAAACCTCTTTTCCAACTTTCAAAATGCAGTTACTATTCAGCAACCACCATGTTTGCACATCATCCGGGAACTGGATTTCTTTTAACATATTTACCTTAAATTCTTTCCATAATTCTTTTTTCAATTTCCACCATATGATCCTTTGTTCAATCTGGCTAACACAATTCTTACAATGGCCCATAAGAAAGTCACAATCCACCAGGAGAACTCTGTGTTGTGCAGCAACACTTTCCGCATTTAACACCTTACTGTTTCTCCCTTCATTCAATGTCTCCTGAGGCACAAGAAAAAATCAATCTAGTTGGATCTACCTCCACTCATGCATGTAACCAGTTAATTCGCTTTCTTCTCAAAGTAGGTGTTAATTAGCGCAAGGTCAAAAGCCACAGCATGATCGACTAGTTTTTCTCCCTCTCCATTCCTTTCTCCCACATTTCATTTTCCAATAACTCTTCTTTCCGCATTCTTCTTTTATCCAACATGACCATTTAAATCGCCCCCACAGATTAATCTCTCGTTTATAGGAACACATATTATAACTTGATCAAGATCTGTCCAAAAGTTTGTCTTTTCTTTTCCTCCACTACCTGGATGAGGAGCATACACACACACACAATTGTAATGAAAATTCCATCAATGTCCAACTTAACGCTCATAATTCTATGACACCTTCGTTTAACCTCACAGACACTTTTAGAACTTTATCAATTACGATACCATCTCCATTCCTTCCTCCCTTCTTCGCTCCACTCACAAACAGCTTGTACCCTTCACCAAGTTCTTTAACTTTATTTCCTTTCCATCTTGTCTCTTGCAGGCACAGAATGTTCGCTCTCCTTCTTTGCATAAGATCAACCAACTCTCTACTTTTCCCATTCAATGTTCCGATGTTTAAAGTACCTATTCTTATACTTGGCTTCTTCCTCTTCTCTTTCTGGACTAAGTTCTTTATCCGAACCCGTCCTTGGTTTGATAGTCCCAGCTAATTTGACATAGTTTTCGGGTGACATGACTGCGCATTGCTTCGGGGAAACGTCCTAAGACACTTATAACTTACTTGTAGTCTAGCAGACATTCCATGTAGATTTGGCATAGGTTTTACGGCCGGATGCTCTTCCTGCTGCCAATCCTATTTGTTATAAGGCTGAATTTGTAGAATAGAATAAATAAATTATTATATTTATAACAAGCTTGATACAACGTATAATATAGAACAGTTTAATATACGTTATGCAGTGAGAAAGGATATACTGTGTTTTTGTGATTTTATTATCATCGTAGTGATATGGTTTACATATCTAAGATTTACTGTCACATTAATAGTGCAATTGATACTCTAATTATATAATGTTTTTTCACTTCGTTCAGATTTCNACAGTTTAATATACGTTATGCAGTGAGAAAGGATATAGTCATACTGTGTTTTTGTGATTTTATCATCGTTGTGATATGGTTTTACATATCTAAGATTTACTGTCATGTTAATAGTGCGATTGATACTGTAATTATATAATGTTTTTTCACTTCGTTCAGATTTCGAATTGACCTGCTGCTCTTTTGTAATGCTGCTTTCTCGCAAGAAAATTTTTGCGATTTTGTTCTCCATACGATTTCATACTTCCTGATTATCCTAAGATTTGTTTTTAACTTTTGCCTAGGCAAATCTGGACTAATTTACTTGATTTTTATATTTTTAATTATTATCTGATTATCTTCTGTACGAATTGATATATCTAAATAATTATGAATTTTATTGATTTTATTTCCTGCTTCAAATTTAATATAATTATCGAGTATATTAACTAATTCTAATATTTCCTATTTATTTGTTATTTTATTATCAGAAATCACCAATAAATCATCAACATAACCTGTTAAGTAATCTACCCTTTGCTTATTCGATATTTGCTGATATTTCTCTTTCAAACAAATCTCTGCCAATTTCACACCTACCATAGATCCCATACATATATCATTCTTTTTTTTAAAATCTGCTGTATCTACTATCTTATTTATCTTCGTTTTAAACCAATCTTATTTCACTAACTCTAATTATCTTGCATTATCTGCTATAAAAAATTGCATTGTAAGCCTACTAGTACATTTCTAATTTATTAGGCCTATATAAAATCAAATTGTGTCTCTATATCGAATTTACTCAATTTCTAAATCAGTCTGCAATGAATCGATTAAATTATGTTTTCATTTATAGATAGGAAAACGATAAATACAAATAAAATTTAAATAAACAATTTGTTTTTTAGTTTACATTATGAAAAATATCCAAATGAAAAGTTTTCTATACTTACATCTTGCCAAGGACTGTAACTCAGTATTAACTACGATAAAAACTCCAGCAAAGAGTTGTTTAACTTTCTCAACGTTCAAAACTAAGCGTGTGACGCCAACTCTTATGATATTTTATTATTAAAATCTTTGTATATTTTTAATCACAGTATTATAAAATAGAAAATAGCTTAATTTTGGGGGTTAAAATGGATTTTATAAAAAAAATTCTAAATGTTTATAATGAGTTAAATCGTCATTAAATCGGACCCTACTGGAGATACACACGACGCCCTTTTTCTCTCTACCCTTCGACCTTTAATTACTAACATTTGACATTTAACGTTAACCATTTAACATAACATTAAACATTTAAAATTATTAACATAACACCTAAAAAACCTTCTTGATAAATTTCAGAAATGTTCGAGTAAAAGAAGAGAAGTTATTGAGCTTCAAGCGAAGTGAAGAAAATTGCTTCACACACACACACACAAACATACTAACAGCCACACATACAGAAAAATTCCTGAATTTTTTTTGCATTTGTCAACGTTTCATGGTCCCCTGAGTCCAAAAATGTAAAACTCTTGGTGGTCATTTTATACCGATTGCCATACGTTCTCTCTGTTACACATAACAGCCAGGAAAGTTAAAAATAAACTTCATGAATATAGATAAATAATCTTCGGCCAAAGAATTCATGTAAAGAATGCGTGGAATAAATGATTGAAACTTTTTAGGATTACAATCGTGAGAAAACTATTTTATGCAATTGTATTTAATCTTAAATAATGTTACATGATATTGTTAATTTTTAGTGGAATCTAGTGTGTGACAGAGCATGGTTAGCATCTTTTGTGCAATTCATGTATTTCATAGGATTTTTAATCTCTGTTTTCATTGGAGGTCAATTATCTGATAAGTATGCTTTTATTATTAGATTATACAGTATAGAATACAACTATTATACGCATAACTGAATGTATATTTTTTCACTCACAAATAGATTTGGCAGGAAACCTATGTTCTACTTGAGTTCAGCATGGACATTCACATTCAGTATGATAAGTATATTTACTTCGTCTTTCTGGATGTTTCTTGCATGTCGATTTTTACTTGCATTTGGTAGGGCAAATTCAGCACTAATTATGTATGTACACGGTAAGGATTATTTTTCAAATTATTATTGAAATATTGTACAAGAATTGCTGAAAATTTTATTCGAATGTATCAAATACAAGAAACTCAAATAATTTCTTTAAATTCCTATTTATATATTATGCAGCAACAGAAATTGTTAGAAAAGAACACAGAATCGCTGTAGGATTAACAAATAAAGCAGGAATATTATTAGGACAACTTGTTCTTCCTGGATTTGTTTGGATTTTCAGAGATTGGTTTTATATAGAAATAATATATGTTTTACCATTCATAATTTGTCTGCCATTATGGTGGTAAGAATATTAATTTTAAAGCATTAATTTAATTAATTAAAAAACGAATTAAGTTTTACTGGTAATTTTTTCAGCTTTCAAAGTAATTTTTTGTAATTTTGTAAAAAGGATCACTTCGGAATCTCCTAGATGGCTTATTACCCAAGGAAAAATAATTGAAGCAGAGAAAGTAATGAAAAAAGCAATAAAAATGAATAAACTCCAAATTGGAAATTTCACTCAAAAATTCAAAAATATAACTGAAAACATTGCAAAGGTAATTATCAATGAATTGCAACATATTTCTTTTATTGTGTATTTTAATTGAATGTATTATTAAAATATAATAGTAATAAATTTGAAAATATATACATAAATTTATTATTATTATTATCATTCTATTCTTAATCTTCTCACTTCACCGATAACTGTGCCGAGTGCTATGCCAAACTAAAATCATGGTATACCTCCCCAAACAAGTATAAGATTAAATTTTCGTGTTATTGGTATGGATGTTCACGTCTAAAAACTTTCTAACAATGTGATATGTGTTCAATATTGAGGCTTTCTGTAGTGTCGTGTTTATGTTTTTATTAAATTAAGGTTTAACATTTCTGACTCTTGTGTTGTGCTGTGGTATTACATCAGTGAAAGAAAAATAAGTACAATAAACATCCTATCCACAGTTGCTTTATTTGTTGGGTGANTTCTTAAACTTCTCACTTCGCCGATAACTGTGTCGAGTGCTATGCCAAACTAAAATCATGGTATAGCTCCCCAAACAAGTATAAGATTAAATTTTCGTGTTACTGGTATGGATGTTCACGTCTAGAAACTTTCTAACAATGTGATATGTGTTCAATATTGTCGCTTTCTGTAGTGTCATGTTTATGTTTTTATTAAATTAAGGTTTAACATTTCTGACTTTTGTGTAGTGTCTGTATTATTACATTAGTGGAAAAAACAAAAATAAGTACAATAAACATCATACTCGTATTCACAGTTGCCTTATTTGTTGGGTGAGTGAATTGTACTACACATTAACAACTTTCGAGCTTTAGCGGTAACAGATACACTTTGATGTCTTAATGACGTAATTGGTGCTATAATTTGTAACTTTCCAATCAAAAAGTAGGTGGCGTGGTCTGTCATTTTGACTGTTTCAGTTTTCTAGTGATTTTTCTAATGAAGTGATGTTAGTGATAAAAACTGGGTATCTTTCCTCAGGCGGATGAAAAAGACATAACCCCTCTTTTCAAAAGAGTGTCAGCCACTTTCTAATTGGATGAAATGACCAATTTATCTAGAAAACTGTTATACATGTGGGGTAGTACAGTACATACTACTGTGAACAATTCTTTTCATGTATGAAAAACATCAAACTGCTGAAAGAAATATCTCGAGTTATTCCCATTTAACTAACATTTTCAGAATAAAGACTAGTAGCATAAAAGTAGATATTGACAATATTATTAAAGGAAGACGATGTCAAAAATCGCATTGAATTTATTTTTATTTTGTGTGTATAATGTTTTTTTTTACCGTCACTAATGCANGTATAGTGACTGTGAGATGAGAACATTGTTGGGAAAACAAGTGATGTAACTGTTATCTGTATGATGTCATATCTGTGTTGTGGTGGTATAATAAGTACAAATATACGAAAAATACAAAAGTACTCGTTCATTTCTGACGTCCATTTCATTCTTTGACGTGTTTAACCTTCCTTAGTGGTCTGTAGCTGGATTGCCTCATTAACATCAAGGTTAAACATTTTTCCAAAATTGGTGAGGGCACTGCCTTAGCTGTGATTGGACCGTGTTATTTTTAACACTGGTGGCCAAGGGAAACTGTGACATATTTTTCGAACGTGAGCATCTGGCTAACTCAGGAGAGCGGATCGTGTTAACCTGGATGACGTCCGAGCCTATATTACACCTTCAGAGATAAGGGTTCAGTTACTCATGGCTTTATTTCTCCCATTGACCTCACCAGCATGTATGATCCTGGCTTTTCCCTGTGGTTTATCAGAATTACTGAGCTTTGTCACCACAGCAAGAGGTGACTGGCGAGAGAGTTATTATTATAATAATTTTAGGTGATTGCTAATTTCCAATATATATATATATTAATAAGAATGTATTTCAAATTTAGGAAAGTGAAGGAAAAAACAAGCAAGTGACATTTCTGGATATAATGAAAAATTCTAAATTACGAAAATTCAGTTTAATTTTGTACCTGATTGGGTAAGTTCCAAAATATCTGATGATGATAATTTTTTTTTAAATTAATCAAATATATATTTAAATTCTGAAAATTATATACTAGAATGAATTTCATAAAGTCAGTTAACAAAAATTTTCTATTAATATACTAAAAATAAATACAACTTTTTTACAAAGAAAAATTCTTTGTTTCAGTCATTTTCTTTTCGTTGTTCACACCATCAGCAGTTCATTAAAAATCACAAATACTCACGGAGACGACCTTCCTTTTTAGGCTACTGTCTCCGTAGTTAAAATGTAAAAAATGATAAAAGCGTCCTCTGGTGCTCTTGCCACAATCACATGAAGCATTTTCAAGTAAAAAAAAAATATAAGTTTAAATGGCCAACGATTATTTAATATTAATATACTAAAATGACTGAAACAAAGAATTTTTTTTGTAAAAAAGTTGTATTTATTTTTAGTATATTAATATTAAATAATCGTTGGCCATTTAAACTTATATTTTTTTACTTAAAAAATTTTCTGTTTGTCATTTATCATTAGGTTAATTATGTATTTTGTCATTATGGTCGTACTATAATCGTTTGGTCTAGTAAATTCTTTGTATATAAAACAAAGGTGTGTTTCTAAGAAAATATACTTTTTCTACTTTTTTAACGCTCACACATTAAACTAACATTAGTATAATTAATTAACTAACAAGTAAGACAGAATTATAAAGAATATTAATTTACGTATGTACACAGGATGACGCATTGATAAATGTAAAATTACATTTAAATTAATTATCCATCAGTGGAGGAATGAAATTTTGGATTATATTGAAGTTACCTCATGCTAACATCATTAAATTAATTTATGCTGATTGTCAATAACATTCCGATCAGCAAAAATTTATAATATTCAATACAAAATTAATTATTTTATTACTATATTCATTTAATGATGTTTATTCAAAAAAAATTAATACAGTACTGACAATCCTCGATACTCAAAATTCAAGGGACGAAACAATCGGGACTTCGAATCCGAGACTTACGAACTTCTGTACAATATGCCAAATGCCATGTAAAACTGATTTAATTTATAAGGTAAACAGATCTGTATACAGAACGCTATTTTCATTGATTAATAATGAATAATAATAATATAAATGTGAAAGTAAACATCGCATGTCCGGTTAGAACCTCACAGATCGCCAGACAGGTTTTATAAAAAGTAAAGCAGAATTCCTCGAAATGCAGCCCAAAATTATTTTCAAAGGGGCAAAATTATTTTCAAAAGTAATAAATAGCCTTGAGCTCAACAAATATGTAAGGTGACACCCGAAAACGTGTTACTGTAAAAGCAAAGTCATATTGACCATTACAGTTGCTTTCGGTCCATTGATCTCTTGTAGCATGGAGACATAATTGTCACTTGGAATTTCGAAGTTGCCGTTTGTCGAAGTAACCGAATTCCTTAACATGTAAATCTCTATATCTCTGGTCGGAACAAAAGTACGGTTACGAACTAACGGTATTTCGAAATAAAGACAATTTTCTGTAGTGAGAAAAAGATTTATGCTTTGTAACTCATCAAGAAGGCAGCTGAGCAAGAGAATGATGTCAACTTTCAGTTTCAATTTTAATTTTAGTTTGATTTCTTTCGGAACACAAAATGTTTCTTTTCAGTGTGAAATGATTTTTTGTTCGAATTCAGAACAAGGATTAACAGTTAAAGTTAAAAGTTAACCAATACGCGTTAAAGTACTAAAAGTAAAGCTAATGATGATTGGCAAAATGTGATTATTGAATGTGAATACGGCCTTTAATTAAAGTACAGTATTCAGTAAAGGAATCGAGTAATGTAACACAATAAAAATATTCTGTCTTTAATGTATTAAATAAAGTTTGCAGTTTTCCAATAATAGTTTATTTCTATTGTATCGAACACATTTTACTTGGAACCGTAAGCAGATGTGTAAATTTCAAAACGATTACATGAAAATAGCAGAGTTTTGGTTGGTCCAATTTTCAAATTTAATTTTATCAAAATTACGGTTTTAGTTATCCAATTATGGTCCCACGTCAACGAAACTTAGCTTGAACATTAATTAATTTTAATAATTGTTCTTAATTTATAATTCATTCATTTTTTGCTTTTATGCTTTTTTCACAAAATGAAATGTTATAAAAGCGGAATTTCTTATATAACTTGATTTATACTTCAGTACAAATAACCTCTAGCAATTCTATTTAGACTTGTTATCTGTACAACGAAATTAATCAAAAGAAATTCTATATTTTAATATTTATACATGCAAATGAAATCGGAAAATTATCAAAAACATAATCAAATTATTAAAACAATTATCAGAATTAAACTTAAAATAGTAACTGAAACATGCAAAGGTTTAATTATAGTTACTTTAAAATTTTTTCTACAGAATATCAACTATTCTTTCATTTTATGGATTATCATTCTCAGTTGATGATATTGGAATAAACGTATTATTATTCTACTCCCTTGCTGCTGTAGTAGAAATACCAGCTTCTGTCATTTACTTTTACCTTCAAAAATTCAGCGGAAGGCGCTATACACTGACCGTTTCTATGGCAGGAAGTGGTTTGATGTACCTTTTAGCAATTGCATTCCAATCAGGTATTTTTACAGCTTAATATTTTAATTTCAATTATTAATGTTTAACTTAATTATCTACAATTTCAGATTATCCAATCATCCTAATTGTTTTAACTGTAGCATCAAGGCTCTGCACAACGATTTCATTAAATTCCTTGTATTTACTTGTAATGGAAATTTATCCTACTGTTGTACGCAATGTTGGTGTGGGATTATTTTCAATGATGGCACGAATAGGTGCTCTGGCAGCTCCTTTTATGAAAGAAGCAGTACGTATTATTTAATTTAAGTAAAATTTGTGTTTATTTTTTTAATATGAAAGATTATATAATTTTTTAAGGCAAAGAATGTTCATATTTCATTTCCCCTTGCGTTGTTTGGAACACTTTTTATTATAAGCAGTGCTTTGTCCTTACTCTTACCGGAAACTAAAGATTCGCAATTGGCTGATACCTTATCACAATTAGAAGATAGAAAAAAGTAAGTATGATACGAAATAATCTATATGAAGTAAAACAATGCCAGAGATTTAGATTAATCAAATATTCCTAAATAACAGGTTTATTCTATGTTAAGGCAAATACTTGTAAAAATCTTCCTGAAGAGCATTTTTATGTTATAACTAGCTGTAAAGACCCGCTTCGCTGGGTTTTTATTTGTTCGTACATTTGTATGTAATATAGTTTTTTTATATATATATAAAATACTGTTTCTCTAAGTAATCTAGAATCTAGCTGCAAGGACCGGCTTCGCTGGGCAAAAAGCAACGATAGTGAAGATTAAGATAATTTCATTATTGCCAATCTTACCCGTTTTCACAGAATGCAAGAATTAGGTCCCCCGTTTTCAGACTAATTAGAGAATTTTTACGTTTAGTCAAACGAACTATTTTCAACGTTTCTGGAACGTTTACAATCGTTCTATAATCGAACCAATATTCGAATTTTATGTTCGAATTTAATTCGAACAATTTCGAACAAAACATTCGAAATAGAAAGCCACTTTCAACCACTTTCAAGCCCATATCTCCCGCACCCTTATAGCTATCGAGACGCAACCCCCCAGGTGCACGAATGGAGACTTGGGGCTACCACCACATACAAACACCATTCACGTGCGATGTGTAGTTTTGGCGGAAAAGTGAAATATAGGGACATACATGTCCATTTATATATATATATATAGATTATTATAACGTAGCAAAAAGCTTAGTTTTCAGGGTTGGGGTGGAGTTTTTAAAAAATTATAAATGCTAATAACGAGTAAAATCGTAAATAAGTCAGACCCTATTCGAGATATGACGTACGATCGATCCCCTTTATCACACGACCCATGATGGAGATATGACATACGAATAGCATCAACCCCCTAATACACAAATCTCCCTGTAAAATCTTAGAAATTTTTGGCAAAACAACAGGAGTTATGAAGTTTCAAAGTGGGTGAACAAAGTCATGTCCCCACACACACATTAACATCCGTACACAAAAAACCTCGGATTTTTTTTGCATTTCTCGAGGTTTTAACGTCCCGATTCCAAAAATGTAAAAATCTTAAGAAAGGTCATTTTTGACCGATAGACCCCAAACATGAGACCTATGTTAAAAAACTGGACGATAAGAAAAATTTAGCATTTCTGCTACAAAATGATAAAAAATAGGCGAGTGGAAAATATTAACAGAAGATATCTTTGGAGATTGGAGAAAGAATAAAACAGTCCTCATTCACACACTGAAAACATGAATTTTATGATTGCAGCAAAAAATCATTGCATTTTGGGGTCCACTAAATAGATGATATAAAAATAAACAAAAATATAATACATCTTTGGAGAAGACTACCCACATGCTCTATTTCCAATTATCAACAAAATCCATATGTGCTTTATTACATAGAATTTTTTAATCTTTTATACCTCTGCATACAAGTTTTTTCTTTGTATTTTATTTAATGTTTTAACCTCTTTATCTGCTATATTTCTATTAAATTTTCTGGAAGAAAAATTTGAAAACCATTCCATTCTGAATATATTCTTCCAGTATATATCTCTTATCATCTTGATATGATAATGATACCTTGTTTACCTTCATTAAATAAAGTTTATATTTTTATTCCGAATTGAAACTTTCAACAAAGAGAAGTGAGTTGATCAAGTTGGATCCGAAGTTACTTAATTATGTGATTTAATAGAAGTAAATTGCAAAAAACATATTTTAATTAACAGTGAAGATATTAATTTATATAATATTTACATTGGTTTATTCCCTTTTGAAATAAAATAAATCTGTTTCATCTATTCGGCGGCAGGAGAAACAATTAATATTGTCAATGCTTACCAGAATTAATTTTAAAATATATATAATTAAGATTATCGTTTATATTCGTTTTAGAAACGGTCTTCTTCTGCGTGGAAAGAAAGCTGAAAATGAAGAAGAAGACGAAGAAGGAAATTAAAGAACTAATTAATTGTTTTTACCTCTACGTCCTGAATGTTTTACTTTTTGTTTCTATATTGTCTACTTGGACATTGTTTATAAATAGGACTTATTACACTGGTATAATTTTTGATTAGCAAAGATAAGAGGAGTCTTAGTCAAAAGTCAAAACAAAATATCTTCATTTTCACCTGGTAGAAATAAAGATTTTTTTTTACTTTTCACTAAGACTTTCTGTTTATCTGTCAATATCTAATGTAATGTAATCTTTGTATCTGCTTAGAATAATCATTATCATATTTTTCGGTTGGAGAGGATCTCAGAGTGAATCAACGCCTAACAGACAATGATTAGACGTTTTCAGAAAAGTTTTCTATATGTATTATTGCTTATATATTCACCTTGGAACTGATACTGTAGTAAACAAATGTACGATGTAAATCGAAATAAATAAACACGTTTTTTGGAAAAATACACTTTATTTGTTTTGTTAAGTACAATTAAAGTTTTTTTATTTCAAAATATCCTGTTAACTTTAAAATGATTTTTATATGTAATTAAATTAACATAGTGTTAATTTTCACATATGACATACTGACCGTAAATTTTGTCCGTTAAATCGAAATTTTACTGTAATGGATAAGCATGCAGAATCTACTAAAAGATTATCTATCATTTGAGAAACTGATACAAGTTTCTCAGATGATGAATGATCTTTTAAGTACAGTATCGATAACGAAATTGGTGCAGTTTATAGAGAAATTGGACAGGCAATGTATGAGACAGCAATTCAGGAGGGCGTGTGAAAAGTAAAATTAGATGTGATTATTAAAAAAAATGATCGTTTTAATTTGATGAGGGTTGCTATTTGGTCAAAAAGAAAAGATCGTACGTAGCCTTATAAATCATGCAACAACATTGATAATTTTGTTTTATTTTGTAGTTATTCATTCTAAAGGTGTTTGGTTTGGACCTGGTCCTGGGATTTTTTCTTTTAAATCTCAAAATGAAATTTTGGATACAAAATTAACTGAAAATAAATTACAACGAGCTTTGAGACGGATGAACTTGTATTTGACTGGAATGAATAGGATTTACTCAAGTTGTTTTGTCTAGGATTTACTCAAGTTGTTTTGTCTATGATCGGCACAATTGTTTATACCAGTGGTTCTCGACTTATTTTTATCGATGAACCTTTACACCTTAGTAAAAAACACTGACAATTTTTATTGATTACACTGGCCAACAAATTTTTGTTGAATATCTATCAACACCTGTTTTTAACTAATTTGGAGGGGCTGAACTCAGATCGGAGGTTCGTTTTATCCAGAACAGCCAACATTTTATCTCATCAACCAACTTTGCTTTTTTTCTCCACCAATTTCATCTTTGACGACCCGACCCGATACATACAGTACAGTACATGAAAAATTGAAATTTCAAAATTTCAATTTTTCATGAACTGTACTGTACATATCGGATCGCCAAGGATGAAATTGGTGGAAAAAAGGCAAAGTTAATTGATAATTTACAAATATAAGTAATTATTTTATTCATCAAAATATGCACCCATACTGTCTATACACTTTTGCCATTTAAGCGGCAGGTTGTTCAGGATGGTGATATAAAACCCTGGTGGACAAAAGTCAATGAATTCCTGGAAGGCCAGTTTTATAGCATTGTCTGAATTAAATTGTTTTTCTATTAAAAAGATGTCCAAATTGCGGAAGAAGTGGTAGTCAGCAGGGGTTAGGTCTGGTGAGTATGGAGAATGATGAAGTTCCAACTCCAATTCCTGTAGTTTTGCCGCAGTCATTTGTGCAGTGTGTGGTCTAGCGTTATCATGCAAAAAGATAGGAGTCGATCTTTCGACCAGTCTAGGCTGTTTATATTTAAGTTTTTGAATCATTTCGTCCAGTTGGTTGCAGTATAATTTTGCTGTGATCGATGAGCCAGTTTCATGAAATCATAATGGATCACACCTGCGCTAGAGCACCAAACATTCATCATCAGCTTCTTTTGATGAATATTGCGCTTTGGAGTGTGTTTTGGTGATTCATCCTTGTCCAACCACTGTACTGAACATTTGCGATTGTCATATTGAATCCATTTCTCATCAAAAGAGACAATTCGATTCAAAAATGGATCATATTTGTGACGAGAAAGCAATATCAAGCAAGCTTTCAAACGCTTTTGTTTCTGTTTTTCATTCAGTTCATGTGGAACCCACTTATCCAACTTTTTCACTTTACTAATTTGAGCTAAATGAGTTAATATTGTTTGTTTGCTAACACCAAACGTCAACGATAATTTATAGGCACTCTGAGATAGGTCAGACTCAACGGTTGGCAATATGATTACCTACAAATTTCATCCTTGACGACTTAATAATACAATACACATTGACCTCTTTGCGTATGTGGATAGAGATTTGATGAAACACTCAAAATTAAGTAGGCAATAAACATTAAATTGCAACATAGTCTAAATGTCTTTAGTAATACAAACTAAACCAATATAGTCATAAACTATCTTAAAATTAGCTAATTAATAAACATTGTTGCAAATAAGTGTAAATTCCTTCATTGATGCAAAATGAAACACATACGGGCATAACCTATCCTAAAATCAGTTGATTAGTAAACATCACATAGCAAAATAGGATTGCTCCTTTGGCGCCATCTGTTAGAGGAATTCCAGACTACAATAAGAACGATTGATAAAGGTTGAATTTAAAGTGGGTGACTAACCGGTAATATCATAGGGACTTGTATTCGAATTATTGACTAAATAAAACGATTAAAATCAGGTTAAATGACTAAAAAAGCAATTAGGCAGAGGCTCACGTTCGAAAAATAGGCTGCAGTCTCCCTTGGTTTCCGGTGGCGAAAGCAGCGCCGGCCCAAGCATGGCTACTGCAATGCCTTCAACAGATGTGAGGAATCACCTAGCCTTGGTGTTTCTGTGGCAATGCATCCACAGACCACAAAATCTGGAAAACCACGCCAACGGATGAAATGGACATCAGAAATGAACGAGTTTATCATCCGTACTTACTACGCAATCAAAACTCGAAACAAACATAACAACATACAGACAACAACTACACCATAGATTCACACAACAATATCCTCACCTCACTGTCACAGAACAAAGGGTTGTTGATCAAAAAAGAACAATTATACACAACAACCTTATTCCACAAACAACACTTGAACTTATCAAACAACAGGTTGCTGATCAAATACATCAACAGACAGAAACATTTAACATTAATGAAGATTACGTAACCTGTCAGGATAATCCAGCAACAAGCATTGATAATAGCACACATACAACAACTACCATTAATGATACTACAGACACTTCCTCATCCATCACTGATAACATAGATACAGATTTAGTTAATACACTCTCACTTATATTTCAGGAAACACTCACTAAATATACAGGCACAAATCCCACACAAAGACCACGAATACCGAAAATCAACACGTCAAAGGTAATAGGGAAAACACTAAATTATGTAAACACTCACTTACTACCAAACTACATTCATTCGATTTCTACACTATCAGACATTCATACATTAGTTTATGCTGGAGCAGTCACAGTAGTAACACACCGTGGACTGAAAATACAATCGCAGACAAACACACACAAAACACAATTCTATCACAAGCCTGCCTGGCAGAGAAGAATAGAAACACAAATAAATGACATTAGACAGCAATTAGGCAGGCTGACACAATACACTAAAAACAACATAACACCCAAATTAAAGAAACAACTCAAAAACGTTTTCAAGAAAATCAAAACACACACAAAACACGAACATCACAACACACACATTACAGAATACATCGATACACTAAAACAGAAACTCGCAGCCAAAGCACGTAGACTCAAACAATACAAAACATGTACATTACGAAAACAACAAAATAAATTATTCACAAACAATGAAAAACTTTTCTACAGACAAATCAGTACCAAAACAAACACTGATACACAGCAAAGTGGCACACCAACAGAAGAAGAACTCACAATTTACTGGTCTTCTCTTTGGTCCAATGCTGTTACACACAATGCTGATGCAGGCTGGATCGAGGAGGAGAACAGAAACTTGCACAACATATCAACTATGCCCTGTGCTGAAATAAACGTACACGACATCCGCTACACTGTTAACAGAACACACAACTGGAAGACACCTGGTATAGACAACATTCACAATTTCTGGTATAAAAAGTTTACATCACTGCACCAGGAACTAGCTAAACATCTAACACACATCATNAAAAATGAAATATAGGGACATACATGTCCATTTTTATATATATATATATAGAATATAGATATAGATATAGATTACTTTTTCATTGCACTGACAACTGCTGTCGTTTAATCTCCAATTTAAGTAGAGAAACGAATAATTGTTTTTTATATGTAATATAGAAGAAAAGCACAGGACTTTCCCTATCTTCCCTATAATCATAGATTAATACGTCTATTATTATTAGAAAAACACGTATTCACGTAATGAATGCTACGTTACGTTGTTCACTTGTTAGAAACTTTCTTTCCACGCTTAATAATCTCCAATACCTTTCCAATTGATGTTATTCTGCATTTGGTATTGCAGAATGTTACAGAAACTACTTCATGAAGCAATTCAACAGTAATTCAAAACATTATGAATGACATAACAGATGAAGAGTATAACTAAGTTCATTTTTATAAAATATATATCATTGATTCAAATACTACATTTTAAATTCATTACGGTGAGAAATTAAAAGAAGAAAATTCCGATTTATCGGATATTGGGATAAATGGCGCCTATTATACATTGTAATTTTAGTATGTTTTTGCCTTCCTACCGGGTGGTTTAATTTTAGTATGATATTCATGGCGCCGAATATTGATTATTGGTGTGCGAAGTCAGCAGAGTTTTAAGAGTATTTAGGATTGTGATAAGATAATTGAACATGATTATGCATTTGCAGATGTATTAGAATGCATAATAGATTGTGTCGCTGGCTTTGTTGCAAACAAATTTTAAAATTTTAAGGGTTGTGGAGTTTGTATTAGGGCTTTGACCAAGGATGAAAGTTATCAACCTGCGGCAATGTTGATTAATCTCAAAACAAAAAGCATATTCACATACCCAAGTACTTTCTTTT